TCGGTAGTCACCAACCTTTGCGTCAGGCACCGCTATGTTTCTGGAAGCGACGTAGTCAATCCTGCGGGGATGCATGTTGGGGGTTGTAGGGGAAATGCGAGGCTTCATGGATGCGCTGACCTGGGACGTGGATATCATTCTCGAGGAACCACTGTAGGATTTGTTCCCCCCCACCCGTGCATGAGAGGGTCGTGTGGCCAAGTTCCCGCCCAGGCTGCAGGAAAGTCTCGTTAGCATCGAGACCTAGGAGAAGGCGTGCATGGCGCATGCATGGGGCTCTCCCCCAGTCTGATAGACAACTGGCTGTTTGTGCAGTGGTGAATTTGTGCGAAACATGTCCTGAAAGGAGACCGATACATCTGCTGTCGGGTTGTTTAAGGACTGTCGAGATGCCGGCGGTACACAGCTTAGAGGTCTGGTGGGTACCGATCGTCTTAAGGAAGGCAATGCCTAGACCTCTCCAGTCGCGACTTTCTCTGCCGTGAATAAGCATCCAAGTCTCATTGTTGTCATAATGCAATCCCTCAGCTGTCGTGATCTCTTGGAGAAACATCAGGCTGAGACGGGACAAAGGTGTGGTGCCCCGGAAGCTGGCGAGTAAATCCAACACTGATTCAGGCGGCATCCCGCCTAGGTTCCAGGTCGCGAAATGCAGTTCAGCGACGTCTTCTTGATGTCGCTCAGCGGTGTGGCGAAACTGGGGGGAGTCTCCCCCGTCTTCTGGCATTGTGGCTTCGAGTCACCGCAGGGCCGCTAGCAGCGGGTCCCACGTCACACGTCTTCTGGAGGAGGCCGGCGTCGACTTTGAGGAGATGCGCGATTTGGGGCAGGTCTACCCAGCCGCATCCTGCTGGCGAAGAGTTCGCTGGGCCAACCGACGATCCCGAGGCGATCTTGCTATTGCGGAACCAGACCGTTCCGGTTGCCCATTCTGGCTCAATGTGAGCTAAAACCGAAGACCCGCCCGCTTCAATGATGAGACGCTTAACTTTTCCTGCCAGGGCTGCTCGTCTGCGTCTCTCCGGTGGCTGACTAACAGTGAGTCAAAGTTTGGCAGGGTTACCATCAGGTTTGCGACCGAGATGGATGTTGGCCTCGTTGACTCGGCGGATGCAATGCTGTGCTCGTTGTCGCATAGCTTCCTCAGTTTCGCCCTCTTGAGGTGTCAAGGGGATCAGAACGAAGCCCCTGCGGACGCCCGGCACAAAGGCGTTAGTCATGTTGAGCTGTAGTTGTAGATCACGAGCAATTTCATTTGCTTTTTGCATGACCTCTGCCGCTGGGCTCTCAGGAGGCCACCCTCCCATGACCAATGCCGGGCTTCTGCCTCCCTCTGCGGTGGACGGGGTGCTCCCCGAGGATTGGATCGTCTTGACGGAATTTTCCAGGAACTGCAGCCGGCCTGTGATGTTCTGGGTTTCGGTGGCGAGGTCCATGATGCGCACGTTTTGGTCGGCTTGGGCCGCCGAGAGAGTCTCAACTGCCTGAAAAGTGCGGTCATTATGTGCTTGTAGACCTCGTTCCAGGGCGGCAACCCTATCGGTCATGCCTGCGACTGCTCCTTGAATTTCACCACGGACAACATCACGGATGGCATCAAGGCTGAGGGCCTCGTCCGGGGGTACCCCCCGCTTTTTCTGAGGTGGTGATTCCAGGGCTTCCGCCATTGATGTTCTCCCAAGGGCAAGGAAATTATTCGCGGTGTCGTTGCCCAAGGCACGAACAGGTAGAAGGTGAAGTGCACGTTCGAGGTACTGGTTTCCGGGAATCGGCCGGAAGAGAAAGTACGGGAGTAGGCTCGCCGATCACCTGGATGGCGTTGTTCGGGATGTCCCTAATGAGCAGGGCAGCAGCGGTTGCCCTCCGGGATCGTTGCACAAAGAGGTCCGTTACAGGAGCGATGTGTTCGAAGAGCGCACGGATATCCCCCTCTAGGTTCAGCAATCGCGGCAGGGAACGATCAATCTAGGCACCGTGTTGAGGATCGGGGGCTCACACAACAAAGCTTACAAGCAGACAAGGGGGGAGCAGTGCGGCCCCGACGTCCTTGAACCGCTCGCGGCTTGAGCCAAAATGGCTACTCACTCTCTCTCTCTCTCTCTCTCTCTCTCTCTTTCTCTCTCTCTCTCTCTCTCTCTCTCTCTAAGCACCACGGCTCAGACCGGCTCTAATAGCAGAGC